AGAATGGTGAAGAAGTTTTGATCAATGGCAAATCCATTTTGAATGTGGATTAGAATATATCTTTATTTGGCTCTCAGATGGGCAGGAAGATAGTCTATTAGAAAAAATTTGTTGCTGTTGTTGTTGCTGCTAATGCTGCTGCTGCTGCAACTCAGAAGGGAGACAGGTTGGTGGGGAGTGGAACAGCCTAGAACTGGGGGAATCCACCAATGAAGGGCCCTGCAGAGTCCACTGAAAGGATAAGTGGGAAAGAGGGGAAAGCCAGTATTTAGAGGCAAAGGTTATGAGGAAGAGATTCCAGAGAAAGATTGGAAGTTAAGTAGAAATTGGTGGTCCATGAATATGCTGGACAATCATCAAGTGGTAATTGGACCTGAGGTGATATGTGTTGGTCCCATGGGAAAAAGTCATACTAATTCTGCCTTGGGACAGCCACCCATTTTCCCATGATTCATCACAAGAGCTAGATTCTTGAGGACAGTAATCAGTGTCTGGGTGACTAGGTATTTCTGTGGTTGTGCCTAACACTGAGGAAGAGTTTTTATAAGAGAGATTGTCCCCGTTGAAGTTTGCTCTATTGAAAGCCAATTAAGATAAATCACCCTTAGATATAGCAAGTTGTAAAGATGGTCTAGCTCCAGAAGTGCTTGAGGTAAGACTCTACATCAATGAATAAGGGATGCCCTGTGTCTCCCAGCCTTAGCCTTAGCTGGTCTGGATCCCTTCCCAAGCCACCTCATAGGAAAGAAAGACCATCTAAGAGGACACTTGGATTCCAGGCCACTCTGGAATAGTGCTAGCCTCTTACCATCCCCCTGTGAAACAAAGAAAAGAGGGAAGAGCCATGCCCATTTAGACACGACCTTTCTCCCTCTGAAAGCCCTACCTTTTAACATCCATACACGCCAGCGACCAATACTAGGAACTCTGAATCAGGTTAGGTGAAGAAGGAGGAGAACAATTTTGATTTGCCCTAGGGAGCAACATTGCCTCACTTTATTCTCTGAACATACTGTGTACAGAATAGAATCATGTACTGAATACCAATATCCAAATACAACGGTCAAGGCATCCCAGATTTTTGGAGTTGCCATTGAACAAGATGTGATAGCTTTGTGTATCAACCTGTAGCTTTTGGATCCTAAAAATTAGCACTATGTTATATTTTTACAGTGTTCCTAGTCCTGATACCATCATTCTTATATCCAGACTTTGTCTCTTAGTAAAGATGTCTTCTTTTAGAATGTTGCCAGTCTTCTTGTCCATGTGAAGATAGGGACCACATATTTAACTCAATATTCTGACTCTTAACTTTGAAGAGTATAGGCATTTGAACAGCTCATATTTTCCTATTGGAAAGCTTTCCTTCCTTCCTTCCTTCCTTCCTTCCTTCCTTCCTTCCTTCCTTCCTTCCTTTTTTAAACAACTAAAGGGCTGTTTACAAGGGAACCAATTTAGCAACATTCATCTCCAAAGTAATTTTCTTTTTATAGGCTGTAAATATATTTGCAAAGTCATGTAACTTCATGGTAATAACATGACCTGGAAATTACAAGGTAATTAAACTCAAAGCATCTAAGTATAGTGCTCTAAGAATAATTTACTTCTTGTTGCCAAGAGTCAAGATTTTCCGCTGCTAAGCACTAATGCAAAATGAATTAGTACTGAATGTTCCAAGCTGCTGGGTGCTAGGAATGATGGGAGGCTGCTTCTGGAGCTGCAAAGTGTAAGTGATGGCTGCATGAAATGGAAACAATGGTGTTATATGTACGCCAGGAAGTAATGATGGAAACGTTGACTATGGGTTTTTATTTTTGTCTGTGCTGGGAATTTATGTGTTGGTATGAGTATGGGTTAGTGTTTGTATGTGTGTGCATGTGTAAATGCATAGGAATGTATGTGTGTAAATGCATAGGAAGCCAGAGGTTGATATCCCGTGTCTTCCTTAAACACTCACACCTTATTGTTTGAGATGGTCTTTCACTGGAGCCAGAACTCACCAATTGGCAAGGCTGGCTGGCCAGCAAGCCCTGTGGCTCCTCCTGTCTCTACCTCCTCGGTGCTCGGATTACCCTCAGAGCAGCTATGCTCATCTTTCTAAGTGGGGACTATGGATCCAGACCAGTGCTTCCATGGGAGCACTTGACTGACTGAGCCTTCTCCCCAGGCCCCTATTGTAAAGTATAGCAACTTCTGTGCTCCTTGGAGAAGGTGAATACAGGTTATCTGTGGCTTATCCAGGTGAGCATTGCCCTAGGAGTCAGTTTAGCTGAATCTGTATGCATGGAAGGTTTAAAAATAAAAGTAAAGGAGTCTGATGGTGTAACTTGACTATTCATGGTATTATAGGAAAGGCCTGGAAGAGAATTTCCCCCTAAGATAAAATGGAAATTATTCACATCATAGCTTAGACTATCTTATCCTGGAGGGGAAAATCTAAAGCCAAGTATTTACCCACAACCCAGATGCCAACATGAGTCTGCCCTAGATGCAGTTGCCTAAGAGAACTGTAGCAGCTCTGTTCTCCTAGATCAGTGTTTCTCAACCTTCCTCACGCTGCAGCCCTTTTGTACAGATCCTCATGTCGTAGCGACCCCCAACCATAAATTATTTTGTTGAAGTCACAACTGCAATTTTACCACTGTTATGAATCATACTGTAAATATCTGATACACAACCCTAATGGATCATGACCCACAGGTCGAGAGCCACTGTTTTAGATTATCCTTATCAACCTCTTCGAACATCAGAAAATGTCTCTCTGTTTGCTGGAAAGAGGGAGGGAAGGAGGAAGGAAGAGGGAAAGAATGAGAAGGAGAGGGTAAGACATATGAGAACACAATTAAGTTTACCTTCATATTGTCTGCCAAAACCTGATGAGAGGCAATGGAGAGATAGCTTTCCTCTAGCCTTCCAAACGGCCATGGTGGTGGTTTTCTGTTGCGTATTTGTGACTTAGTTGCTAATTAGCTGCAAATGGGTCAGAAAGAATCAATGTGGCCAACTCTTTAGGGCTTAAGGTTTGTGCCCTCAGCCAGGTCCTTTCTCTTCTTCAAATGCTCCCCCCCCCCCCCCCGAAGACTCCTTTTTTCTCATGCTCACTATGCTTCAGAGTCTTGGAGTAGTAACTACACCCATACTCAGAGGATCTAAACTACCCTTTGAGGTCTTTCTCTGTCTGCCTACAATTTATAAAAAACCCTCCTTTGAAGTTTTCTTAGATAATTCAGATTTAAATGAACCACCTGCTGCCTGTTGTGAGCCTGATATTCATACTAATGTGTCTGTATGGACATTTTAGTTAAACATTTATCTTTGATATCTTTTTCAATTATTAGGAGCATGTAATCTGTGGGAGATTATTTCTTTGAGCTTTTTTTTTTATGATTTGTGACCTAGAAGTATGGTTCATTTTTAAGAATGATCCCTGAGTATTTAAAAACAAACAATAATCTTGATGTGAAGTGCAGATTTCTATATGGATTATATTAATCTTTATTATTTATTTATTAATCTAAATGAGAATTACCAACAGTCATAATAAAAGATATCCTTGAAGAAACCCCAATTTGTAGTATTCCCAGAACACAAAAATTCTCTCATGAAATGCAGTGATCTGCATGCATTGGAAATTGTAACTCAATCCCCCGACCCTAACCCTGGTCCCCAAAGACAGAGATTATAAACTATAGTGAAGGGAGAATGGGGCTGGTGGACAGTTAGGCTCTGAAGAGTTGGTGAAGTTCAGAGGTTGATGCACCTGGGTCAGGACTTGAGAAAAAGTTCACAGAGAAGTGTCACAGAACCTCCCAGAACTCAAGTAATCAGATATGCAAGTGTCAGACTAAGGAATACTAAATGACCTGTGTCCTCTGTCATAGCTGTGACTTGGGCATGGTCAGTGCTCCCCAACCCTAGGCAGTGACCATGACATATCTCTGTGTGACATGCACATGAGAGTAACTGGTCTGTAGGCTGCAGGCTCTGTCGGTGACACCTCTGGAGCAAGCCTCCAGGGAGAGGACACCTATGCAAGTGTAAACTACAGAGGAGCAGAAGGTGAGGCATTCAGAGATTTCCATATCTGCAGTTCTTTACAGCTAGTGTCTAAAGAAACAAGAAAGGTTAAACTTTTTATTATGCTTGGATCTTTATACATTTTAATCATTTTGTCAGCTTGATTTACTAGTGTCCAGAGGAGAGGGGATAAAAATGTCTCCCTATGATGCTGTTCACCAGCTTCTACCTTAGGATTCTTCATCGACCTACCTGTCTTGTTTCCCATTTCCTTGATCTTGGTTTTCCAAGGTGACAGTTATTGTCTCAGTTAATTTACCCTAAAACATTATTGATTTAGAGTGAATTAATATTTTTCAGAATCCATAGGCTATATCTAGAAAGCTCGACTACTTGCAAATAGCTTCAGTTGTTTTTTTAAATTCTATTTGCAATTCCAAGAGACCACTAATGCCTTTGCGGCCATCTTTAATGTGCTGTTGGTATGGCGTGTATGTCTGTTTGTATTTATGGCAGTTTTCATGAGTGAGGGTTCCACTGCTGAAAGCCTGTCATTAGAGGTTCTTCTGGATTAATTCAAACCCATATCTGCTTTACCAGGAGGGAAGAACTGAAGGCACATTGTGGGTCATGGCATCGGGGTGAGGTGCAGATCTCTTTTGAAGAAAACTGCAAGATGTGGTGCACAGTTAGGTGATAGCTTCCAACTGTTGCCTCCTTCTGGGCCACCCTAGCTTTTAGTCAAGGTCACCCTCTTTCTGAGGTAGCACTACTCAGTAACCGACCAACACAGTGGCTACGGGTTAACCTTCCTGCTTAATGCAGGACTCTTCCAAAGGGCAGCCAACATCTGCAGACGTTCCCTCCACCTTGGGTCTCTTCCCTGTTTCTCTCTCAGAACTTACTTTCTGGTCAGCCTCTGTACCTCTAACCCAGGCTAACCATATGCTTCCCAGAGGAGCAAACAGACACCAGACTTAACAGAAAATGTCAATTCTGATCTCATTCCCTACTTCCTCTCCAGGCTGCTTCTGTCACCCTTTCATAAAGATGAATGATTTGGGGTAGTGAGAAGACTCCTCCAGCAAAACGTTTGTTGTGCAAGCCTGAGCATGTGTATTGATCTCCAGACCCCACACAAAGGTTGAGGGAGAGAACTAACTCCATTTAGTTGCTCTCTGACTTCCATGCCCATTCCATGGCACACATGTACCTACCCACCTCTCTCTCTCTCTCTCTCTCTCTCTCTCTCTCTCTCTCTCTCTCTCTCTCTCTCTCTCTCATATGCGCTCATGCGCGGGCGTGCACACAAAATACATGTTTTAAAGATGAAGATTTTGTTTCAACACAAGAATCAGATTTTATTTCAGCTTATGAATTAATGGATCTAGCAGATTCATCACTAGGGTCATGATGCCCTCGATGCCCAGTACTCTTCAGATATCATAGAGCCCCACTTGGTTGAGCCCAACACCACTGAGCACAGTGTTCTAACACAGGTGCCACTCCTCTCCCAAGCCACCGCAAGGAAACAACTCACCAGTTCCACAGGGTACCCATCTGTCCTCTGTTCAAGGAGAGACCACGAAAGGGGAAGCAGTATTTTCATCAGGCTGATTGCAGATGGAAGCATTTTCGAGTTTGGACTCAGTCTGTGCCTTTGTCACTTGTGACTATGCATGAAGATTTCAAAAAGCCTACTGAGGCAGAGAATGAGTGATAAGATGGAGTGAGGTTATGTCCAAGCCAATAAACACCTCAATTATTATAATTAGAGAAGATAATAATGATCACAACAGCTAAATCTGTCCTTAAATCATTTGCATTGTTCAGAGGAGTGACCTAATGTGTCCAAAATGCCATCATCCATTTCGTGAAAACCTCCGGACTTAGAACTTGGAGTCTTAGTCTGGTAGCCACATCCTAACATCACTCCGGCTACACCGTGCATATACCAGCAGGCACATGTCTTGCAAGAGGATATCAGTAATGGTCCCAAGGAAAGATGACATCCTAATGAGCCCCAGCCAGTGTCTTAAGGCCTGGAGTTTCTAAGAAGTAGATTGATTTGTTGCTCCCCACAACCTATCCCCATGGTGATGACCAGTGAAGCCAATTAGATCCGTTTTCTTTAAGCCTTCTCAGTGTCTATGTTAAGGTAGCAACAGCCTGGCTGTGGTTCCTTCCCATTTGGGAGCAGTGTGCACAGGAGGGATGTTTGGAGAGATGCTACACTGGTGTTCCTAAGAGAAAGTAGTGAATTCAACAAGCAGGGATTCATTGACTTTGGGGACTCTGTTAAGATGTCCACTGGCCCTAGGTGATTCGAAGCTTGTCTCCTTCTCTCTCCATATGTCCTATAGATAATTCCAGATGCCCAGGTGGAGAAGTGCCTGGGAGAGGTGAGCAGGTCATCATGCTGTCATTAATCACTTGCAGACAGCTGGTCCTAGAGTTCTTCCAGCCCTGCCCTGCCCTGCCCTTCCATGATCTACAGCATCTCACTGCAACAAGGTGGGAGAAAGCTCAGCTCTTCTTGGGTACCTTTCTTCTCCAGATGTCAATGTCAGACTGCTTTCCTGGGGGAGGAAAACACATCCATTGCTGTTCCTTTAAAACTAAAAAGCATCCTTTCCATGTGTGCCTTTTGAAAAAAAGGACTATGGGATTGCCACCTTTTTACTGAGGATATCCACTTGATGTGGTAGGGAGGACACAAAAGAGAGATAATGCATGAAAAAGATAGTGTATATTTTTATATTTATCTCCCTTACCTCCAAGGGTATATTGCCATTACACATCATGCCTTATACATCAGCATTTGCCCAAATGAGTTCTGTAGAATATTACTCTCCTTTAAGATTCATGTAAAACAAGTTTGTGTCAGTCCGGTCCTGGAGGTGCCATCCATCAAACCTCATAGGAGACTCACAGTGCTAGTCACAGCATGGGAGGAATCTGGCCACCAAACAAACCTACTTACCTTAGTTGAATGGGGTATTATTTGGTGATGGACTCCTTCATTGATATCCCTAATGCAGAATGTGCTCTCAGGACCTGTATCATAGTAGTAAAGCCTTCCCCGAGGACTTGGGTTTGAATTCATTTACTGGACAAGTCCATTTTCCTTTCTGTGCCTCATATTTCTCATCTAAATAATGGGAATGATACATCAGAGCTGCTGGGTGGCTCAAACACATCACTATACGTAATGAGCTCAGTACAGTACCTGCTGAATAGTGAGCATTACCTAAGTTTCCTGTTAGTGTTATGGCTTTCTGTCTTCAAACAACAGCTTGGGTCTGATAATAACAATACATGAGAATTAAATATTATGGTAATTAAGATAATAGTGAATATATTTTAGTCTGATAAAATTTTTCATAAATCCATACTTGGTTTTCATGAGTCTTATGTGGTAGGTATTGTAGGTATTATTGGTTTTTACCCAACCATTGATCAGAAGAAAAGACTAAGAAATTCCAGCATGTTTTAATGAGTAAACAGTAAGGGAAAGACCTAAGGAGCAAACAGGAACCTTCCACATCAGAGTTGGAGCCTTCCCACAAATTGTATTTGATTTTCCTTAGACTCCAAGTTAAAATGTGAGGAAACATTCATTTGTAATAGCTGTGATCTGCCTCTCCTAGGAGCGTAAGTGCAGTGGGGTTAAATGCAGATGTTAATAATTAAACTCACCAAGGACAATGAGGCACAAGACAGGGTGACAATTGCCTTCAAGGTTACAAAGCTCCTGGCAAAGCCTCCTGGAGGACTGAGAAGCATGAAGCCAGGACCACACCATCCGATGGAAGACCTTGATGCTTCTTCTACATCAGGGACAAACCTGAGTTTCCTTGACAGCTGAATAGTAATGGGGGCCACACAAGGGAAGCTTTGAAATCTTGGTGTAGAGGGATTATGGTTACTGGTTCAGCATCATATGTGAACTCCACATAGTATTTGCAAATCAGGAAAACCCAACTTTT